GACAGGATGCAGTCGACCTTCCATACCATCTTCACAAGGATCATTGGGAACAACAAAGGTTTGGATATTTCGTCCATCATTTTATTGAAAAGCGGCTGTGTAACATGGCACAAAATTCTGTTCTGAAGAGGCTGCAATCTTACTGACATTCTGTGGCGTACAAACGAAAGCGTATAAGGGCTATCTGATCCTGAAGCCCTAATGACGACGAATTTATTGTTCTAGCCATTAAAACGATGTAATAGGAATAAGGCTTTAGAGATATCAGAAAGCTCGGAGTTAAGACTTGCTAAAATCACTTACTAGGGTACAAACGGATGCTGTAAAAAGTGTGAAGTACCAAATACTAATTAATATATTACTCATTAGCATATTCTAGCAACATATGAACATATGTTCTTTTATCAATGAATATTCGTAGGTGCAACCTTCGCAACCGTTATCACTTTCTCATGCCATGTGACGAAAGGGATTACATAGTACTACTAATGCGAGTTTCTATGAAAGGAAATGCGGTTATGCAATTTTCTGGATTCGATATATGATCGTAATTTCTGATTCAACTGGAAACTGTATCCACCCCATCATTAAACTTTGCCATGTTTTTAACGTTGCTCACTTAAGAAATGGGGCATGCGTACCTCATGCATGGATGAGGTGATGCTGTCCGACAGTCATTTTTGTAGATCGACGTCAAGCTTAGAGAAATACTGCAACTTCATGAAAGTCCAAACCGTTTTGCAGCTCTTAGAAGCGCCTGTCAGCAAGCTTGGCGAATTTCGAACGGTTCGACTAGTAAGTAGGCAATGACGGCATCATAAACGGAGTTTCAAGCTGGGTTTCAGTTGCACGGATATCAAAATGCTGCATAGCAATAAAATCCTAGTGTATGTTAAACGCTGAGGAGTACAAACGGATCATTGTTACTGGCCAAAAATCCTCGAAATCTGTCACTCGTAATTTTTTATCGCTGAAAATCAGTCAGGACGTTGGTATAAATTTATCGTTCAGATAGATCTTGTATATATCTGTGTGTGGGGCCCAGGTTTTTGGCACGGGGCTTTAAGGCAGCTAATGACGCAAGGAATAGACTCAGCGGAGATGAAGTGGATTGTCGTCATAGATGACATGTCTAGATCTTCTAATCCAAGTGCCATTTTTGTCAAGAAGCAAAAATGTTTCAAACTTCCTCAAGTAGTGTAGGTGCTTTTTGGCCTTCATAAGAAATGGTAAAAAAATTTCGAATCTCGTATTTTTCACTTGAAAATGGAAGATCAAGAACATCAGATATCCACCTGATGTTTAAAGCTCTTGCCAAAACTCGAGTTGGCATGTCTAATGCATGCCTGAGACACAGTGTGGTTTCAAGCATGCTTTCCCATTCGCATAAAATTGTCTTTTCCATCGCATGAGCTCCGTCGCATTTCGCACTTTGAATACATTTTTGTTTTTTTTTTCTGTGACAGTTTAGCCTTACTGATGCTTGGCAGCGATTGATGTAGAAAATTCTCCAGTTGCACGAGAGTCCGGAACTGTAGCGGGCGAGCGTTCGGGTAAGTTGAGGCGGTGATGCACTCCGTCACTCACCAGTGATATATTTTCGTGTCCAAATCCTCACAAAGTGGTCGACTTTTCTGAATCCGTTGGGCAGGATGAAAGTCGGAAAGACCTTGGCAATAATTCGTAAGGGTTGGTATTACGAGTGGCAATACAATGACGTGCCATAAAATGCTTAAAAACTCAAACCTGGAAATAAGTGCGACTGCTACGATGGTCAACACAACAACTCCAGACCACAGAATGCAATTGGTAAACGGACGCGGAACGTCATCAAGATCTTGATGGCCAGCCATAATGCAAGAAGCTATCGAGAGACGCATTTATCAGCATCTATAAGAAGAAACGGAAAAAATCAGGGCGGATGTCATTGGGGTATGGAAGACCTGAGGATCTATCGAACTTCTTGCGTATTGAAATGGTGGCAATCAAGTGATTCTCGCCAAGACCTTCGAAAACAGAACTTGGAC